CACTGAGTATGGCAAGAAACAATTGAACTCATAATTGAGCTTTAGGATTTGAATGCCATGTTCCCATTGGCTCCTGCTCTTTCTAAAATATTCTCAAGCACTTTCGTGTTTCAACTCATGTGAGATTCAGAAAAGTCTAATATCACTTAAAATGATGCAGATATATTATGTTTTCCTTGTTTTGGTGTTAGCAAAAGCATGTTATTTATCTATTCTTTTATTCAAGGAAGACATGTTGGAAACAACTCCCAAATACTGACATAAAGAACAAATGAGAACAGAATGTCCAACAATCCAGGCTCTGATTCCAGATAGTGTTTCTTGTCATGGAGCGCTATGGCGTTGATGCAGACGTAAATGACAAAGTGGCTCAAAAATTAACCCACTTAAAGATTAGAAAACTGCCCAGACCTTAAGCAATGGAGAACTCTCACGAGAAGCAGGTTGATAAAAAAAGGAGCCAACAAATTAAGATCAACACTGAGCTCTAATTAGTCAAGAACAGGTCACCTTCAGTCAGGACTTGACCTGGACGTTTCTACTCCGCATGTGTGAAAAAACTCAGAAGTGGTGTGAAACGGTGGTCGACGGTATGAAAACGTGCTTTCTTTAGACATCTTCATTACATTTTTCTTGAGTTTACTCCAGCAAAATTGTACTAGAAATAATGCATCTACAAAACGACGTGTGGCCGTGACGGTACATTCATAAAAAGGCACTAGGATCAAACTCGAAATTATTGCTCAAATTGAGACTTCCTGCTTGATTCCCTTTAGGGGTAGCTGGCCAGACTACTCCTAAGTGATTTAGACTGTGTATATATGTGCACCACAGAGTGGGTGAAGGTGCTGATGGGAAACGGAAAAAGACAGCAAGAGACCATTCCAGAGAGGAAGAACTGAAAGAGCGAGCCCCACAGAGACAGACTGACAAAGTAGTGGACTGTGTGTGCCACTTTCTCTGACAGTTATTTGCAGGAATTGTTCATAGACGGCAAATGTGCTGTGTGCTGATGGCTGGAGGTGTTTTGAGACAGGTCTTCTGCTCTGTGATTGAAGCAGAAGATAGGTAGCGTCTCATTTTATACAGTACCACTGGCAGCGGAGACGTCTGCCACTGTGTACCCTTCTGATGCATCATCAACTGTAATTGTCATCATTATTCTTATCCTACTTCCCTGCCCCCTTGGTGGTAATTTAAATGAATATGCTGGCAGAAGTGTGTAAAAAGTAGCAGGGAAGGCAAAGAGTAAGGGCTAATGGAGAAAGAAAAGGGAGATTAATTAGACTTTATATGGACTCTATATTGCACTTTTCTATACGTCCTTGGAGGGCGAAAGAATTCGGCATCCTTTCAAGTTGGTCAGTTTGCTTGCAGTTTTGTTTTGCATTAATTTTAATGTTCGCTGAACTCTAAATATTTACGTTGTTACTACAGTGTAATATGTTGGTGCGCTGCAATATATTTAGTTCAATGAAAACTCTGAAGTTTTGTTGAAATATCACCATTTCTAAAAAAAAAAAAAAAAAAAAAAAAACTTATTTGGGTTTTTTACACAAAAACAAAATTTTTTTAGTCAAAAACAA